GTTTATTATATAATTAGGATGCGTCTAGTCTTATAATGATATTCTATATCCTACCAGTGATCCTCAGCCTCATTAATGAGTATCCAGTTCTTAGTACGGAAACATGAGTCATCAGTATCTATCATTCCCAGCCTGGTTGTAGTGCAACGGATTAGTCAAAGTTTCTACACAGTAATGTGACTTAACAGGTAGTTCCAGTACTACATGTTGTAACCATAATTGCTTTCTAGAATTTAGCATCGCCTACTCAACAACCACAAACTATGGGTCATTGCAGATGAATGTGAAAAGCTTAGCGCTTGACTATGACCAAAGACAGTAACTGGTTAGTTTTCTGTTTTATAAATTATACTTGGATTTAATTATGACCTGTTAAAATAATGATGGGGCATAGAGCTAATTTACAGAAACTGATGGGAATAAAACATACTTCATTGCAACTAATCAGGTGTTGCCTTTATTTTTCCATATCCTGCATTAGAAAGATGTAATTGCGTAATTAGTTTCTGTGATTAACAGCTCCTCCTAATTTTGTGCTAATTTATATTAAAGTACATGTTAAACCTAGCTGAATGGCAATTTCCCATACAACAAAAACAATTGCCCTTTGCCTATTTTTCTACTGTGCTGCAGCCCAGTGCTACTGATCTCCTGCAACATCTGTACAGTCACATATATGCATTTATTCCACCAAAGGCTGCAAGCATTTCTCAGGACAGGTTTCCTTGATGACAACACTGCTCTACTGTATATATGCGTAAAGTAGAACTTTTTTTTTTAGTTTCGGTTACAATAGGGGAGGGTTATAATCACTGTCAGATTCAGTTGCACTGAAACAGCCACTTGCAGTGTCCACTGGAAACGGTGACACCCTATAGCAGGAAGTACCTAAACAAGGATCTTCATGGCAGGATTACCAGGCATGATGTTAATGGAAGCTGCAGTTTCATAAAATTGAAAATGACTTTTCAAATTAACACTAGCAAAGGTGTGTCCATTCATTGAACCGGATACACCAGCATGCAGAAGATTAAATACGATTTTAGTGATCGAGTTCACTTATAATTTAAAGTTCATGTTTACTCAAAGTGTTTACTCAAAGATCCCTTAGCCCCCTTACCCCCCTTACCCCCTCAATATCAGAGTATTAAACTCTCGAACATTTTTTCAATTATAAATCCAGAACAAATAAATATAGATTGCCCAGCAAAGTATTTGTTTTACATTTTTGTCCAAGCACTTACAGTCAAATGTTTCTGAACAGCTCCAACTCTCTCAGCTCTGCTTCCCTGAACTTTCTGTCCAGTCCAAGATAACAAGGGACAGAGCAGTCTCAAATGTTTCTGAACAGCTCCAACTCTCTCAGCTCTGCTTCCCTGAACTTTCTGTCCAGTCCAAGATAACAAGGGACAGAGCTAAACAAAATAAAATATTTTGGCTTGTGTTGTTACAAAAAAACGCATTAGCGCAACACATTAAAAAAGACATCAATGAGCATCAACTCAAGTGCATTCAATGCACGTTAATGGTTGGTAAACATTATGCACATGGTGTGAATCCAGCCTTCATCTTTAAATAAATGGGTTGCCCATACACCACAATGCCTATTTTCACGGACATGCATTTGTTTTAACATAGCACACCACATGGTTTATTTATGTTGTGATGCACTAAAACGCATTCTGTTGCAGTGTGCTGTGTAGGCCTCAGGTGGCATCTCAATGGGTTACATAGGGCGCGATCCCCTTTCTGGCCAGAGCACCCCAGGCTGCTAAGCTCTTAGCAACCTGTGACACTCTGGGTGGCATCCTGCCTAGCTCACTGACATAACCGATTGCCAGGATTGGGAGGCTCTGGCAGTGACATCAGTGAGCTGTGCTGAATGCCAGACAGGGGTACCATGCGCTGACACCACTCCCTCCCTGAGTAACTGCACAGCTAACACCCCACCTCAGTAATGTGCGCTACCAGCACCCCCCAACCCTTGGTCTCAGGTAGTGAAAAGTGTAGGGACGCCCCTGGAGGTGCCATTCAAAAGGTAAAATGCACCACAATGCCCTGAGAACCACACAGTAAAGTGCCCTGTGGTAACCTACCATAAAATGTCACGTCTTGCTGTACATTTCCACAGTGACTACTGTGAATTGACCCTAAAAGAAATGTGTCCCATCTCAAAAACCTCTGATTGTAAAAGCCGCAGAATACTAGTTCCAGGACCACTGAGCTGACACTATTCATCTTCTCTGTGAGTGAAGTCATTGCAGTTAAGATGCAACCTGTGAGATGCAAAATGGCTGCTTCCATCAGAGGCTTCTAGACTAGGTGTTTTGCTCGTTGGGAGAAGGGGAGATTCTGGTGGTACTTTCATTGGAACATGAAAGAACTCCAGGTTTTTTTTTTCTAAATTACCACCCCACTGCAAGGGTTAAGTGCTCATTTTGGTCTAGGGGCTGGGATACAGAAGATATATTCCCCTGATCCTCAGTCATGTGGCTGTGACCACTCACCTCTCCGACTCTGACTGTGGTCATGTCCCTTGCTGTCCTCATGTTTAATGGACTTGCTTTAGAAGTGATGACGTCATGGGTCCTTAGACCCCCAGAGCCCAGGGGAGAACAAGCTGGAGGGACTGGTCTAGCAGCCAAGTGGATCAGGTGAGTATATTGTCTTTATTTTCGTCCCTAGACAAAAATGAGCTACCCCTGGACTGCAAGGGTTAGATTGAAGACATCTTCTTTAAATGTGTTAAGAAATTTCCCGCAGTCCCCATTGTTGGCAGAGAAAAGGTTCTTTGAGTACCTGAAGCCATATGCTTATACATTATAATAATATCCAGTATGAAATAAATTGGATGCACAACACCAGAGATATAGGGGTTGATTTACTAACCTTATAAACACACCACAAACATGTATACACCTCTGTAGTGTGTTCCCTCCCAGCATGCTCTATGGGTGGAATCTAGACACCTTTGTAGTGTGTACACACCCAGCAGGTGTGTTGTGCATGAATTGCAAGGTGATGTTGTGTAAATTAGCTCTACGTTGTGTTGCTTGCGTTGATGAATGCAGGAATGTAAATGCATGAGCTAACCTTTTTTCTCTAAACTGTGAAGCAGCGTTATATATGCATCATGTGCATGATTTTTCCATATATGGCATTAGTGGAAATATGCTTTTAGAGACTTTTTGGTTGATAAATACATTTTGCTGTGTGAAAATCACACACACCTGGTGCGTGCGTGTGTTTAGGTTAGTAAATCACCCCCATAGTGTCCCAAAGCAGATGGTTCATTATAATAAATTAAAATGAGATTGTTTGCTGAGAGAGATGTAGAAATAAAATAGCTACCAGGGATAGTGGCAGGTTTATTGATATGATCCCTGAATGTCCGTAGAAGTGCCCCTGGTCTTCAATCATAGACATTTGTACCCTAAAATCTATTTTAGTTTTTTTTCCCCCACTTATGCCTCTAAAAAACACTAGTGTAAAGATGTCTGCAGTTCAGTTCCCAGGTCTGCACATATGCGATAGCCATTAAAATGGAGTCCCACTTTCCTTGCTGAATTTTATTGAATGCAATCTTATTGGACGAAGGAGGGAATGAGAAGGAGTGGGGATCCCAAAAAACTATACAGTTCCCAAGAGGTATATGAAGACAGCAGGTGACTCAGCATAGCAAGAACCACCAATAATACTTTATCTCTGGTGGGAGGACTTGACACTTTAAAATGTTGTATGTATATCTCTATATATTTATACATCTTATTATTATCATCATTATTATTGTTATTTGTATCTATTTATGTATTTGTACACGCGACTTAGCAGTTGTGTGTATTTCCTTATGACATCTGACATTTGAAGTCTTTAGTATGTTCTCAGTAGTATGGCAGGTCTAGGCAAAGGGAGTGTCAGGTCCTAGCTTTCTTTCTCATGGCAATGCTGCTTTACAATGAGTGCACAGCCATGGATGCCAGCTAGTCATCTGCAATGAGTGCTACTCTCATCCTGGCACTATATGGATATTTGATAGGTGTGAACATTTTTTGTATACTATACACAATATATAAATATTAATGCACACACACAACTATTTACGGTGTTCTGGGTTCATCTACAAAGTGTCCAACCAACCAATTACATTAAAACACATTGTGCGATTTATTAAAATAGAATATGAAACAAACAAAAAAAAAAAGGCTTCATTTCACTATTTTTTACTTTGCATATAACAAGGAACCATTCCACATTATACCTAGATCGGGAAATGCATCATATAGTTCCAAATTATTAGGAATCGTTAACAGTCTGTAAGTCATTGGCTGGACAGCCTCAGGTGCCCGCTTGTATTTTGCTATGTTACACCATGCAAGACAATGAGAAACGCCTGCTCTGGATGACACAAAGAAACATGTAGCTGAGGACGCGTTGAAAAGACAGTGGCGCTGCCTTGTCTCCCATCCACTGACACAGCAGAATAAAATACAAGCTTATCTACAGTGCAAAATACATATGTACATATTATTAGTTACAAAAGTAGTGCAAAATCATGAAAGGCTGATGCAATCTGCTGTAGAATTTCTTCTGCGGCACCCCACCCCTCCTCTGCCCTTCACACATCACCCAACCCTTCTAGTAGCAGAGCACATATCTATACGGATTTCCCTGTCTTTCCGCTTGCTGATAGTATCAAGCGCTTCACTAATTAACCCTATGTAGCCCTACTGACATTTAGCACAAATAATGCATTAAAAGGATCGGTCCGTGCATCATTATGCCAAGTGCCGCTAACAAGCGTATGCCAAAGAATTTAAAAATGAACATGCGAAATGTCTAATTAGGTCAGCATAGCATGATGACTTAGTGGTTAGCACTTCTGCCTTGCAGCACTGGGGTCCTCAGTTCATATCCCAGCCATCAGGTTCTCCCGTGTGGTTTTCCTCCTGCACAGTCCATGGACATGCTGTTGGGGTTCATTAGCTCCTGACTAAAAAAAAATGGCCCTAGTTTGATATTCTACTGAGTGCACCCAAGATGGCTGCTTCACCTCCTATCTGCCCCAAAACCAATTTGCTTAGAAAAGAGCTATAGAGATATTAATGAATTCATAGCATTGGGCAGTGAAAGGGTTATCCAGGGCTGTGCTAGATTGATTCTTAGTCACTGCACCTTAAAATATTGATGAGAGGTGTAGTACAGGAATTATCCTCCATCATTACATGGTTATGGCCGTGAACCCGATACCAGAATGCATTAGACTTAATATGATCCCTGACTCCCTCTTTCCATGTTAATGGTACACACTCACCCTCTTTAGCAAACAAACATCGACATAAAAAACATGTTAAACAATAACCCGGCCCATCAAATAATACACATCTAAATAATGTAATAAGCCACTATTGTCAATGTCCCCAGCTGCCAAATCCGATTTCTTCTTTATATCTGTTGGTGAGGAGGTTGGCTTTCCTGGTGAGTTTGCTGAGCACTGTGTGAAGTCCAGTGAGATGGTAATGGAACTGTTTTTCCAGATCCTCCTCTCCATCTGCATCCTCCAGCCGGCTGATATCCATAGAGCTCACTTTGTCCTTTTTGCGCTCGTCTCCCTGCAGGATTCCCCATTCGATGTCACTCCTGATGGATTTCAGCAAAATGTAATAGCCGTGCATGTCTCTCCTCGCAAAGTAGTTGGCAGCCCCGATGCTGTTGGTGACTTCGTCCTTCACCTCCATTTCGAGGGGCAAGTCTCTCAGCAGACTGGGCACCATCACCGTCTGGTCCATGTTGTTCACCGCCCCGATGAACCTATTCATGGCATTGAACAAGGAGTGCTTCTGGTTGTACGTATCAGATATCTGCATCATTTTTGCAGCGCGATGTGCCAGTGATAAATCCCGAGCAGGTGAAAGCACAAGAACCACCACCACCACCAATCTACTCCCAGGTGTCACAATCCGCTTTACTGGAGATGGCGATCAGCGCCGCAAACGTACAAGCCAGATAAGCTGCTTTATATGTGCATCTCCCGGTGTCAGCTCATCGGCTGTGCTTCTGTTTCCTGGCAGGTAGCTTGGCTACTTTAGCAGGGAGCTTTTCTCAGTAGTGACTGCTTTCAGTGGTTGCAGCAAGTCTCCTTTACTTTATCATGGAAATGACTTAAGATCAGAGACAGTGTGATAGTAGGCACTCCTTTTTTTGTCCCATCCACATGCACCAGGCAACCGGCTTCTTTTCAGTCCCAAGCACAGTATATATACCCTGGAAGAAAAGGTGTAGCTGAAAGTGCCACCCCCTTGCAGTATAGCAGGATAAAGCCGGTTCACATATCTGAATGACCGAGAGTAACACAGGCTTTAGCTTTGCCTAACATGGAAACCCCTCCTACTTTCTCCTCTCCTCACATCCAGGCAGGTCCCAGCTGCCCAGTAAGAAGATCAGGCTGTTGCCTGGCAAACCCCCCTACGCCTTGCATCATGCACAGTTACAGACAGTCACCTCACAAAAGCAGAAGGAAGAGATGCGGGATGACTGAACGCAGCTATATGTGATCTATGCATAGCACATATATGTGCATGATCTATACATAGCACATATACATGGATCATCTATACACATCACATATATGTGGATGATCTATATACATCACTATGTACAGCACATATATGTGGATGATCTATACACATCGCTATGTATAGCACATATATGTAGATGATCTATACACATCGCTATGTATAGCACATATATGTGAATGATCTATACACATCGCTATGTATAGCACATATATATGGATGATATATACACATTGCTATGTATAGCACATATATGTAGATGATCTATACACATCTCTATGTACAGCACATATGTGTAGATGATCTACACACATCGCCATGTACAGCACATACAAGTAGGTAATCTATACACATCGCTATGTACAGCACATATGTGTGGATGATCTATACACATCGCTATGTACAGCACATATATGTGGATGATCTATACACATCTCTATGTAAAGCACATACAGTATATGTAGATGATCTATACACATCTCTATGTACAGCACATCTATGTGGATGATCTATACACATCTCTATGTACAGCGCATTTACAGTACGTAGACAAGCCATACCTCTATGTGTACAGTGCATGTGTAGATGATCTATACATCTCTATGTACAGCACATCTATGTGGATGATCTATACACATCTCTAGTGTCATCTTGCCTAGGGTAGCCCCAAACCAGAATACACCACTGCTGAGGGGGCCGGCAGGAGTAGAGATCAGGTAAGTAAATCTAATTTACTCTACCCCCTAGACAAAAACATGCAGTTAACCCTCGCATTGCCGGGGTAGCCCCACAACAAAGGTACTTTTTTTGTGCGCCCAAAGATGGGCTTTAACACAAGAAGGAGGAAGGGCACCGAAGGCAAATATTACAGCAGACAAAAAGCTAATCATTTACTATAACTGTTTACAGGGAAGTTATACTCAAACACAAAATGGACTCAGATTACTGAGTATGTTACATTAGCAATAGAGACCAAACTGTAAACAGGTATTTCGCTATAATGGCTCATGAACACAGCAGTATGTTATGGGCCCATTCACACAGCTGTGTTCAGTAATCTTGCACTGCGTTTAGCTGTGTAAAATCAAAGTAGAAAATTCTGTGTCAATGTGTCAGTATTTGGGCGCAATTTTCTACGTAATGTTTAAGTGGGCCCCAATTTATTTGGCCTCCCACTTTTATGGAGTTGCGGCGGTCCCCCCTCCCTCCTGTTTTCCTGGTGTTATAATAAAGGTTTTGTTATGGTCAATAATAAAAGTGTTATTATATATTGTGTAAAAAATATATATATATATATATATTTTACCTCAGAAATTTAGGTGTGTTTTCCCTTTAAGACTCACCTGCGAGTTTTTCGCCGGGAAAATCCTCAGCTCGTGGGCTTCTGGAAGGTTCCAGGGCACTGCCTATAAAAGGAAAGGTTGTGAGAGGAATGGTCAATCGGCTGGACTTCAACACAGCAAGCTCGTCAGTGTTATTGATACCTGAGTTTGCTGCGTTCGAATCAAGCCATGAAGACCATCGTTCGTCGGGTCCTGGAAAGGGCTGAAGCCGCCGGAGGAGAAGATTGGCTGCGTCGCTGCCTGGAGGCAGCTGAAGATATTCAGCAGCCTACCCTCCTCGAACCGATGGAAGACAGCCAGGTCGTAGAAGACGTTGGAGAAGAGCGGAGTGTACCTCTCAGATGTCCCCCACGCCGAAGCCCTCTGCCAAAACGATGCAGGCAGTTGTCGGTACTGTCCAAAGCTCCGGTACAGACGAATGTGGCTGAACAACATGAAGACGCCGGCCGGAATGAAGCAGACGGAGGTGTCGTCAGAGGAAGAGGCGGAACGGGTAAGCGCGCGCGCAAATGCCGGCCGCCTTTCTCGCCTTCGCCGGATAGACTTTCCGGAGGGCGGAGGCTAAATGGACCCCATTCCCCTAGACAACGAGCTACCCCTAGGCGACGAGCACGCCCAACCCATATACAGGGACAGCCTAGTGCAGAGGGTGAGAGGGGCATTAAAGGCTGGTCCAAGGCCGAGGTCAGAGGGCATAGCTGTCAGCCGCTACCCAATCCAGGACAGCTACACATCCACAGCAGCAGCTGCTATGCATGATGTCACCGCAGGGGGCTTTCAAGCACTGCATCCTCCAGCAGCTTCAGAAATACTACATGATTCTTCACTACAATCAAATTTTCAGCCAATTCTGGTGGTCGGTGTGGATGCACAGCAGCCTATATCCGGTGTTAGTTTTGGGGGTGAGTTTAACCAAACCGCTGTGTTAACCAATTTAATTGCTTCTCTCTCCAGAATTGCGGATAAATTTACTGTCTCCTCACCAGCCACAATGGTATGGGCTCCGTCAGAGGATAATCCAGTTAATGTTAATAGAGTCGTATCTCCACCTGTTACTAATGTTACCCCTGTGATTTCTTCTGATGTTTTTCCTTCTCCTAATATACCTGAAACTTCTTTTAGGTCTCCGTTACCGTGCGAGATGTCACCTATAGGTATGCATCTGTCATCTTCATTGAAAGATAAGATTACCAAAGGTGAATTTATTGACATTTTGTCATTGCTGCCGTCAGCAAAGGATTTTATTAGGTCAGACAAAGACAAGACGGACGATGGCAGACGCAGACCGGTGGCCCGCACTTTTAATAATTGGTTGCAGGCTTTCTGTATTTTTGGGAGTATTTTAGGTAATAGGTTTCCAGAACAAAGCAGTGGTTTATTTCAACATATTGATATCATTTTAGAAGCGTACAAAATTTTTGGCGGGCTGGGTTGGTTCTACTATGATGAATCTTTTCGCCAAAAGAAAGCTGTCTATTCTACTTTGCAGTGGGGGGTGAAGGACGTGGGTTTGTGGTTAAATTTAATCATTCCACAGAAACCGGCTCTTAGGCAAACACCTCCTTCGGCCTCTACTTCGGGGTTGCGTAAAGGGGTCTGTTTTTCTTTTAATGAGTCACATTGCAAATGGGCAGCATCCTGTAAATATAAACACGAATGCTCTTTCTGTGCAGGTTCGCACCCATTTTCAAGGTGTTTCAAAAAACAGGCGAGTGCCACAATGCCAAAGAAGGATATTTTTTCCAAAAGCCTGCACGCCTGGTGAGGCTGGAAAGGATGCTTCCGCGGCTAATACGGTACCCCGATAAGGAGATAGCTCAGCTATTAACTGAGGGTTTTTCTTTTGGCTTTCGGATCCCAGTTTTTAGTGGGAATACCTTAGTATTGTCAGGGAATTTTTTTTTAAAGAATTCATTGCAGGTAGAGTAGCTGGCCCTTTTTCCGCTCCTCCTTTTGTTAATTTTTGGATTTCTCCTTTAGGTTTAGTCCCAAAAAAGGAACCCAATTCATATAGGTTAATTCATCATTTGTCCTTTCCTAAAGGGGATTCCTTGAATGATGAAATAGACCCATCTTTGACAGCGGTGTCATATTCATCTTTTGATTCAGCCCTATCAAAAATAAGGCGTTTTGGTAAGGGAGCGCTATTAGGAAGTCCGACATCAAATCAGCGTTTCGCCTTTTGCCCATCCATCCGGATGCTTTTAATTCGCTAGGTTTTTATTTTGAGCAGGCTTTTTTCTTTGACAAGTGCCTTCCCATGGGCTGATCCCTTTCCTGTTTTTATTTTGAGTCTTTTTCAATCTTTTTAGAATGGATTTTACAATACGAGTCTGGTTATGATAATACAATCCATTATTTGGATGATTTTTTATTCATAGGCCCTGCCAGCTCTTCTATTTGTTTTTATTTTTTCCAGCTGTTTTGCAATATTTGTACATACTGTGGAATTCCATTGGCGGAAGAAAAATCTGTTTTTCCTACAACGTGTCTTACGTTTTTGGGTATTCAGATTGACACAGTTTCTTGTGAATTTTTCTTACCTATAGAAAAAATTTCTAGAACATTGATGCTGATTTCTAATATGTTGGGAAAAAATAAAGTTTTATTAAGAGAACTACAGTCTCTATTGGGCCTTTTGGCTTTCGCTTCTCGCGCAATACCAGTTGGTAGAGTTTTTTCTAGACGCTTATGTCAGGTTTCAAATCACCATTTTCGCATATACGGTTGACGGTGGATTTAAAGGACGATTTAATGGTTTGGTCAAATTTTTTAACGGTCAATCTTTCTGGCAAAGTGATTTTATTGCAGCGGAAGACATTCATTTATTCACAGACGCGGCGGCATCTATTGGTTTTGCTGCGATTTTCGGCAACCGCTGGTGCAACGGTATTTGGCTAGGGTCATGGACCAGGGATAGAGCAAAAAAGAACATTGTTTTGTTGGAATTTTTCCCAGTGGTAGTTGCTTTGGAGTTGTGGGGAGAGCAATTTTCAAACAAAAGGATCCCATTGCATTCGGATAATAAAGGAGTTGTTTATGCAGTGAATTGTTTGTCTTCCAAGTCCCAGTTTGTTATCAAGTTATTGAGTTATTTTTAGAGGTGCACCGAATTGGCAATTTTAAAACCGAAACAAAACCGAAATTAAAAAAAATGTCAGGCCGAAACCGATACCGAAAATGTTTTTTATGTTTTTAATATTTAATTTTTATTTATTTTTTGTAAACTTTTTAATTTTTTTATATTTATTACTGTAATTATTTTTTAGCTCACTCCCATTCATTCATAATTGAGGATATAGTTAACATACCATATTCTCAATTATGTACACACACTCAGCGATCACTGGCTGATCGAGCGGTTTAGAGAGGAAAGCCCAGCCTTCTGTGACAGCGTGGGCTGTCTCCGCCCACACACCTCTATGCTGGACT